TTTTACATAAATATGGCAACATTTTGTGACGTTTCATCGTTGCCGACGCGTACTACGGTGTTTTGAGAGTCACCTAAAGCAAACAGAACTTGAGTAACGCATACGGTTATTTTTTATAGTTTTTTATTTCTCGATGCGTCCTTAATGTGCCGGAATATACCGCGTTTACCCTATGAAATCTTACGGCTTGAATGTCATAAATTTTTGTTCAATTGAAAACTTGCTGTTTGCACTTCACAAACATGTCATTTCATAAAATTTTCAACTTGCGCAATCTGCATTGCTTTACCGTTCCCACCAAAATATCTTGCAGAAAAAACAAACATCGTAATGTAAACAAATCAACTAAACGTTTTGTTGAAGATTGCGCATAGTTGCGGTCATGTCAAAGTGGTCAGACTGCATTAACACGTGCTGAACTTACAGTAAAGACAAATTTTATTGTTGCAGTTTGCCTGTTTTAGGGTAAAATTAGAGATTTGGGATAACACGTGCTTGGACTTAGTAAATAAATTCGCGCCTCGTAAATGGCTTTTCATGGCTGAGATATGGAATTCATGGCTCGGTGAAATGGAATCACGGCTTGAAGAAATGGAATCACGGCTGGCAAATCCATAAAACCACGGCTCAAAAAATTCAGTCGCGGCTTGCCAAGTAGATATATTTCATGCCAGGGTTTGATGACACCAACATGCAACAGTCAACAGTGCAGCAATGTTCTTCGAGTTTGATAGGCTAGAGTCTTGAGAGCCTAAGTTCCCAAGTCCCAACACATTCCTATTTAATACGGAATAAATCACATTTGAACTACGTAAAAGTTTAGTTGAATATTATGGAATTTCTTATTGTTGATTAAGAAACCTCTCAATGCTCTCATGATCGGTTAGCCTGGGCTCTGTTTAGTCTGTTGTTGGTATTCACACACAGATGCGCAGCAAGATCATGTCATATTTGTTTCCTGAGCAATACTACAGCTGACGAGCATGAACGTTGCTACTGGTCCAGCAGCTACTAGTTTTTTGTGCATCTAGCATTCATCTGGGCCTCTGGCTAATTTTCCTGGCTTTGTGCTTTGCACTTTGCACAGATTTCACTTTTTTTATTGCGCTGCAGAATTCAATTTTGGCATCCTGCGGAATTAGTGGCAATATTTTGCAGCCCAAGCTATCTGCGGAGTTCAATAACAGGCATACAAATCCATAAGAAGTTGCATTCTTCCACTTAGGGTGGCACGTGGCAGTGTCCAGTGTGGCAGTGGCACTTGCCCTCAAATTAAATTTTGAGTCCTATAAGTACTAAGTAGACCAGCAAAATAGCAAATTATCATGGTCCTGGTCCATGCCTCCATGGATACCAGCATTATCATACAATTATAACAAGATATTACTTTATCTTGAGTAAATAAGGGAATTAAAAAATCTTTGATTTGTCTAACTTATTTGCATGTCCTGTTCTTGTGTTAACCCAAATCTCTAATTGTACCCTAGAAACAGCTACAATAACATTTGTCTACTCTAGAGGCAAATGAACATGTGATAATCTTTTGTTTACATTTTTGTTACAAAATAAATGCAGTCTAATGTAACTTGTAACTGCAAGTCTATCACAATGCTATCTCCTACAAAATGTTTTGGGTTGACTCATTATGCAAGATATTTTGGCAGAAGTGTGCTCTAAGTACTGTGGAATCTAACTATTTTGTGAAATGACACTTTTGTGAACTGCAATTTCTTCAATCAAACAAAAACTCATTACACAGAGAGAGATTTCATGCCAATTAAAATTATATGTTATTAGAGCCATGATATTTCAGAAAAAGTATAACTTTTCCCAACTAGTTCTCTAATAAATCATGTTTGCCTTATTTCCATTCTCTGTCTGAGTTTACATTTGGAGAGAAGTGCCAAAAGAAGCACTTAAACCCAACTGCCTCCTCCCAATTGTAAAAAACATGGCAAGGGATCTGTGATGTTCTGAGGTGCTATTTCCTAGAAATCTGGTAGACCAATGATTTCTCTTCATGGAAGAATCAACTGCCATAACTATTTAGGAATTTAGTTCACCTAATGGTTCAAGCACTGTTTCCAGAGGGGAATGCTATATTTCAAGATGATAATGCCCTGAGCCATTCAGCCGAAAGTGTTAAAAAATATAACTCGGTACTCACTGCAGTGAGTGACAGAGAACGCATTTTCTCGTCAACAAAAACTTGAGGTCACGGACAGACAGACAGACAGACAGACGGACACGGCGAGCACAATAATGTATTTTATTCATAAATGAGAAAATGTGCTAAAAATGGCATACCTCTCCAATCTTGGCATGGCAAAAAATGGCATACCTGAGCATGTTAGTTGGCCACAACAGTCACCAGACTTTAATATTATCAAGCATTTATGGTCGATTTTAGAAATGCAAGTCAGAAGTCAATTCCCGCTGCCATTGTCTTTAACAGAGCTGGTTGGAGTAGGAAGTTTCAACTGAAGAATGGGTTAATATTCCTTTGGAAACAAATCAAACAATTCACAATTTGTATGAATTACAGCCTCCATTCACCTCGTAGAATTGAGGCTGTAATTGCCGCAAAAGTGGACCTATACAATACTAAAATATATATATTGTAGATTTCTTAAGTGTTTTCCCTGTTTTGTCTAACCTCTGTATGTAGCAGCATTGTACAAAAGAAACAAAACCAACCTACTATTAGTTTAAGGTTACAGAAGTTTTCTTGAATTACAAAAGCTCAAATATGACATTTTGAAGTTAACTCCCTGCAACAGAAGAAATAATAAGTGGTTGTTTTATCCACTAATGTGTTTATAGATGGAAAATATTGAATATCAGGTTCATACTTAGATTAAAAATGTTGTGACATAAGAATTACAAGTCAACTTAGACGAGCATGTCTTACCCAGCCCTTTTCCATCTTACCTAACTGGAGTAAGATGGAACTGGCTCCCTTTTTTTGCTCTGTATGGAAAAATTTATCATCAAAAAGTCTGAGTTAAGGCTTAGAACCCTACTACACCAGTGCACAATTTGGTATGTTCAAGGTTTTTTCAGTCATTCATGGTATAGGTGTGCTACTTGCTTGTTAAAGATTTAGGTCCTGTCTTCCCCCATTTAACTATACTCAGTATGTATACGTACTGTTATGGGAAAAATCAGAACCTTGATATTGGTTATGGGAAAAATTGGAACCTTGAAGCAGGGTGGAAAAGTTTATTCCTATTAGATAGAAATAATTTCACTTTCAATGAAGTGATATATGAAAACATATTACATAATTGTACTAATAATAATAAATGCATCTTTGTTTATTTTGACTACAGACTTTATCTATTATTGAATTCATATCAATTAAATGAGTAAATATGTATGTATTTGAACTTTATCATTTGATTAACGCTTGAATAAAGTCTCCAATTTTCTGTCTTTTCAGTTGATTTAATTCCATTGCTGTAGGAAAAACTATTTCTTATGTTATCATTGACTGTGTTTGTGTGTGGCAGTAGACCAGGCTAGGGAACACTATGAGAATGAGGGTCATACGGAGCTTGGTGTTTGCGAGTGTAAGTGTCATGAGTTTCTTTGTTATTCTTTCAATGCTTACAAACACCACTCCAGCATCTCCTACGGCCCTGCACTCTCTGGTGACTCACACTCATAACCACTTGAACCATCTGCAGAACAACATCAAGGTAAGACAGTAACTTGGTGCCCATATTAACATACAAAATAATTTAATATGTTATTTGATTTCATTCATTACTGTATTGATTAATTTGTATTGATGTTGTTCATTCAGTTAATCTCAAGTGTCTGAAATTAACCTTTCTTGAGTTTTTGAAAGTTCTGCTAAATATTTCATGGTTCAAGCAATTCTCTGTAATTAAAGATTGTTCCCCAGTTAAACTACATATTTAACTTATTCAAATGTGTGCCTAGCATGATGTGTTATTTTTATTTGTACAGGAAGAATTTGAGAGTCTGGTATCTGGTCCAGATCCAGAAGTTCTGCAGCAACTTGGTTTTGTTGACAAACCCGTCCTGTACCCACACACAAACTGGACCAACCTCACGACACCTGTTATAGTCACTGCTGTGAGCACATTACCTCAATAAACCTCTTTCTGGTAGATTTGTTCAAAATGTTTTCATGTAAGAAAATTATTTCACCATCAGACTTCTAACAGATATCTAAATTATGTATCAGTTTGCATTGTTAAATGAATGAATGATCTATGTGCTATAATATCAATGGCAGCCAATTTTTAAAAGTCCAGAATTGCACAAACCTAGTCTGGTGTTTTTCCTACTAAATGCAACTTTCATTGTTTAGTTTAATTTCTGCTGTAAAAAAGAGACACTGGTAGTACTTTGAAAGTTGTATAATTTTTCATAGAATTTAGATTGATTTAATTTTATATATACTCATTAAAATTGTAAGAAAATTTGAGATATTATAGGTATATTAAAAATTTAAAACAAAATTACATTGGATAGTCACCTTTTAAATTTTACTTTGGTCTTATAACTTCCATCAATGCCTTATTTGAAAAATGAGAAATAATCAATTTTTGTCATAGTCTTCTTATGAATTTTTGCAAAGAAAATGATTAGCTGCTCATGGCTTGCAGGTATCCAGCTCTGAGATTGAAGCTGTTGAAAATGTTGTGGGAGTTGCAGCTCAAGTTTGTCCTGAGGCCAACATCCTCATCTACACGCTGGACCTGTCTACCAAGGAGACAGCTCTTGTGAGATTATAAGTTAACATATACCACTAGTTAACATAGCAGAGCATCTACATATGATTAAGATAACTTAAACATCAGATAACTCTACATCTTCCTCCAAATGCTGGACCTGACACCTCAGCTGAAGGAACTTGGGAGATCATAAGTTAACATAACATCTATATTTAGTTAACATTACATCTATAATCTATATCAAGTTCAAATAACTCGTTGGACAAAATTCTGCTTAGAAATGCTCTTTTTGTCAGGTTTGTTCTATTAGAGGCAAAAAAATAACAATTTGTTATAAAAGGAATTTGCTGTAATTTGTAATCTTTTACAAAATACCAAAATACTGCGTTAATATACCTACTTTTTCATAATGATTTCATTCTTTTTACAGGTAGAGCTGCTCTGCAACGATACATGTTCTGTGGTGGCCTTTGACTTCTCCATCTACCCGAGTCATGTCAAGAACTGGCGCCTTCAGGCCTACCGCCCCATTATCATCCAGGTGAGGCCTTCTATTTAGAGTTCCCATTAGTTAATATGACATCAATGGGGGAATGTATATAGTAGAAGAATAATTGTCTTATCAAACTGAGTTTAGAGCAATCAATTGTTGCTAGAACTTGAGAGAACAGAGTGTCTTAAAGTTTGTATATAAGACACTGGAAATCAGTTGGGATTGTTATTAATTTTTTAGATTGTTTGATTCCTTGTATTATTACCTTTTGATTCACGATTGAGAGGCAGGTATAGTGTGTGTAGAAAGAGGTCTTATCTTCTTAGGTTGATAAATGTTCATGGTATTGCTAATTTGTAATTCATGATCTATTTCTATTTTATTGTCCTGACCCTTCAGACCAATTACATAATGGTGTTTGATTTTTTGAATAATTGTTGTCAATAACCTCAAAGTTGGAAGATCGTACACTTCATCCATTATGTATAACTAAATTTTCAACAATATTTCACGTCATATCTGAATCATAAACACCAAAGAAAATGAAAAATTTAACAGTAGTATTTCACCTATATTTACTGCAGCAGTAAATATAGGTTGCCAATGCTGCAGTATTTAACATTGGTTGTCGTTGTGCAGGAGCTGTTGGTCAGAGCAGGAGCCGTGCTATGGCTAGACCCGACCATCAGACTCGTGGTCACGTCTTCTCCTGACACAGAGCCGCGATCTCGAGTAAACATGAGCGCTTCATTTGCCTCAGGAGCTGCGAGCGGACAAGTGAACTATCTCTTCGCCAGCCCTACCAGGGACAAGACTGGGAAAAAACCGGCATGGGGGGAAAGAAGTCCTGGTAAAAAACCAACATCTAGTATTAATAACTCTTCTGCATTTCCGAAGGTAGAAGAAAAAACTTTTATTGAGTTTCTGGACATTAACGCTAATGAGTCGGGACTACAGGCTGTATACCCGGCTGATCAAGCAGCTCTGCTCAACATTCCCAACCGTTATGTGCCTGTTGCTGGCAGGTCTAAAGCATCAAATAATAATCACTCTGAGTTTGTGGCGTTGACTGATCAAGAAGTGTCGGGTCATGGCAGATCGCTTCTTACAGTGACCTTCAATGACATGAACAACAAGAACCCTCATCAACGACGGTCTAAAATAACCAAAACTTCAGTCCGCAAAAAGCGGTCATCACTGTACAAAGAAAATACAGTTGTTGATGTGACTAAATCTGAGCATAATCATGATTTGAACGAAGTTTCCAAGGACGAAATTTTGGTTGATGAGACAGTGAATTCCCTGACAAATCATATGCCTATCCATAAAACTGGACTGGATCATCTGAAAAATGAACTAGGAACCGTGTTGGAGACAGATGTTCTGCACAATATCAACATTGATCAAATCCCCATGCCTGCAACGGAACAAAGCGTCAAGCAGCCAATATTGAACAGCTCACAGCAACGTGGCACATTACTGGAAAGCCTGCACATAAACGAGCTTTCTTATGCCTCACCGAAACATTCCTATGCATCATTGAGAAGTACACGTCTGGACGAAGTATCGGAGGACGACTGCCTGCTGGGTGCGTGGCGACATGAGGCTCTTCTGCAGCGTGGGGTGCTAGCCTGGCAGTTCTCTGATCCTCTAATGGGGCGTCTGCCCACCGCAGCCCTCACCCACCCCAGCATGTTCTCTGCCATGCACACCCGCAAGGAGCTCTATGACTTCCATCAGGTCTATACTCTGCATTTGGTGCAGAAATAGCATGCTTCACTTGTTGACTTGCAAGCAATGAAATATCGAGGTATTGACATGAGTCAATAAAATAGTGAGGTGCACACTTGCATGTTAATATAGTAGTTAGGGGTTGCCTTACGGTAAAAAAATAGTAACATTTTGACTTGATAGTTGAGAAAACAGCAATGTGTTGATTTGCAAGGCAAAACTTGCAAGGTTCACTTTAGGCAATTTCGAGCAATGCTGGTATTCTTTTATATCTTTTAGAAGTTTAGGTTGCACGTGCAACGCAACAACGGACCGCATGAGCACTGAGCTTCCTGCTTTATTACTGCTTTATTAAGAACTTTGTTAGGAAGACATTGCTTGTTTTGATGACCGCAACACTGCATTTCCAATATTGTTTTCCTACCGTCAATCCTACTGAAATACCAATGCATAGATTAACATATATATTAGTATATTGTGTTATATAATGTGATGTTACAGATGAGCGACGCTGGCGCTGTGCTGCTCTACAACACAGAGTCTGTCCACCGGCACCTCATGAAGCCTTGGCTTATGTGCAGCCTCTCGTCCCACTGTGTACAGCCCATAGGGGCCCAGGACACGGGCTGCAGGTCAAGTTTTACATCAATTATACCTATGGATAATATGTATGATAATAAACACATACAAAAGCTGGTATATCAAAAAATTTCAAGGTTCTACAAAGTCTTTGAAATGGGCCACATCTCCTATTCTGGCCCTCAGCACCTTTACACAATTTATTCATGCTGTCTCAAGCCACGCCCTTCACTAGCTATGTGGTTCAGTCATTACTCAGTTTGTTCTAGGATTGTAACATATCCCTTGCAAGGAAACGAGTAATCCTCTGAATGTATGATCACTTTTACTAACTACTTTGATCATCTGACATTGTGGCTCGTTGAATAGCCTCAAGTGGTATAATAGCGGAAGTTACCTTAATTACAGTGTAAACAAAATAAATAAAAAACTCGTTTTTTACAAATCATTCACACACAAAAAATGATCCCAACATGTCTAATTATGAGCCTCCAGCGATATCATTATGCCCAAGCGATTCCTTTGTGTATAAATTACTTGTCTGCAATCACATTTTATTTGCAAAGCACTGATGAAATATATTTCGTTATGGAGAAGATACCTCAACCTCACTATTGGTAATTTCAAAGCTTGTGCGCACTATGGAGAAATATTTAAATGCTATTATCCATATTTATCCATACACATTCTGCTAGTACTTACTCAAAATATAAATCATATATCCCTGGAAATTCAAGAGCCGTTGTGCATTAAGGTATGAAACTGCATTTTTCACAAATTATTTTCTTTGCAGGTTCGACAAGAAGCCTCTGTTCAGGTACTCTGGTTGCCACCTGTACGACGCGTCCGCTTTTAACGTAGCGTTGGGCCTCATGCTGGGTCCCCACAACCACCCACACCAGCCCACCTCGGCTGTCATTTTCACTCGCGTTCCCCCCACCCCCGCTCCCGGATCAGACATGGGTGATATTTCCCCCTCCCCTCAATACACGGAGCCCCCCGTCTCAAACATCAGACATTTGCACCGTGGAACACCCAGACGGTGGCCGCTGTCTTCGTCCCCTCCTCTGCGTAACCACAGCGCTGCTGGCAGTGCAGTTGTAGTTGCTGGGGCCGGGAGTTAGCGAGTGTTATTTGTTAGCCGGTCTGAGTTGGCTTTAGTGGCAGTGGTGGTTGCGGCATTGTGAGGTGGAGTTTAAATAATGGCACAAAATTGTAGCTTAATATTTATTTGCCAAGATCGTGTCGTCTTGTCACGCGAAGGACGGTAGACTTGTTTGTCTGAGCTATATTATCTATTGAGAAGGCTATTAATTCTCAGTAATATTAAAGAGAAAAAAAGACAGCTGTCTTTGCACCCAAATGGGGGCGGATAAGCGATAGTCTGAGGCGGCGATCCATCGTGGCCGGGGACTGCTACGTCCGAAACATATACTAAGGATATTAAGCCTGCATGGTAGCCGTAGGGCTGCTTCTGAACAAATGTCCTCAAGTACCAATGAGTAGAATGAATAAGGTTATTAATTTTATAACCTAAGTTATGAAGACAAGAGCTTTACATGTCAAAGTAGAGAACTAGGACTGTATTCGTGTATATGTGTTTTGTGTGCGTGGCTCATGAGAATGGCTAACTAGATGCCATCGTAGTGTTAATTTATTAGCACTCTATGAGAGTACAAACTTGTCTGCAGCCGCTCTCTATAGCACAAAAAATCCCAATTTGGCAAAGAAATTCGTGTGCGTTTATTAGTAATCCAAGAAAATGCCGGTGCTATCTATTTATTGCGGGCAAATATTTTCAGTGTTAACAGAAATTATATATTACAACAAATTATTTTGTTGAATACGCACGGGATTGTTAAGTGTGGCCTAGTGTGCTCATGGAGGCAATAGGAAGCTAACGACGAGATCAATTTCTGGTGTCCTCATTCTAGTCTCTGCATCGGCCATCGCTGCTGCTAAGCTTCCAGTTCACTAGTCAAAGATAACAGAGAGACATTCTTCTTGTCTCGGGAAGTTGTTTACAATCTGATGTTTGCTGAGAAGCGCTAGTCTGAGAATCATCTTGACAGTTAGATTTCTCTCATTGGCCACAAAATTCAAGAACTACCAATGGAATATGTGTAATTATTTTTCTTATTGATGTTAAAATATTTCGGTTTATCGTTCAGTGGCAATACTGCACAATTAGTTTAAGATTGGTTAAACTCAGTTTATCCTTAGAATTTTGGGTATAAATGTGCTAACTTGCTGTACGTTTATTCTTTATTGTGACCGATGGCTATCATCAAGTAATATCGGTCAGTGGTGCTACGATGTAAGCATAAAGATTGGGCCTCATCAATTTTGATGCTCACCAATAACAGTGTCATCAATCTTGCAGCTCATTGAAGTCAGCATTTGTCCTCAAGTCTCATCTTTGTGCTGACATGCTTGTGTGTCAGAACCTAAGCTGACAATGACTTGCCTGAGATGGGAGATATATTTGCGGCCGCTATTCTCATGGTAATTCATTTTCTGTCATTCTTTTATTGTGAACTAGCAACCTTTCCCTGAAGAAATATCATCATACCCAATCAAAATTTTAGTTAAATTTCAACTGCATATCCCTGAGCGACAGCATCAGTTTCTTTGATGTGCCATGTTCCTGCATCCTTGCTTGTTGAATCGGAAGCGCTTTGTGTGATGCGAGTCTAGTCGTTTTCTGTGTTTTCCTCTGTGTTGTTAATGGTCGTGAATATTATTCCTCTTGATTGTATAAATACCTGTATTTTCCTTACATGTGATATTGCCTATGTCAGATAACCCTCGACCGTGGGTAATTTTTTTTATCAAGCCATGATTAATAACGTTATTGTTGTGTCTATTGAATTGTATTATGTGCTTATGGCCCGCTGAATTGGTAACATGCTTGTTGATTTGTGGAGCCATCTATTGTGGAACCCCTGGCCCATGCCTCGTTGGTTTCTAAGTCTGTGTTGTGTTTAGCAAACTAGTCCCGAGCGCCCACATCGAATTATTCTTTGAACTTATTGTTGATGGTACGCACTCATATGCCTTATGTTTAAAGATTAGCAATAAGCTATTTATTTCATGTATTGTTTGTGTGACGTTGGCAGCTAGCGGCTACTCTCATTCCTGCTGTAATTTAGCATCTTGTGTGGCAGCGATTCACAGAGCGCGGTGGCTCAAGAGTTCGTCAAGATTTAATGAACTTCTTTGAACATATAAAACATATTACGATAGATTATCTATGCTTGTCATATTGTATCCTCGAGTTTTTGTGAAAAAATAGGTTTAGTTATGATTTAAAGCATTTTCAATTATTTACATTCATTGACAAATCTCAATGATGAACGGCTATTTAAATTGAACCTGTTTTCAAATGAGGGATATTTCCTTGATAGTACCAGTGGAACTATAGTATAAATAATATGTAACTGACCAGAAAAATTTGAATGTCTCCAGATAAGATTTTTTAGCACTTGTGGCCGCGTCCTCATAATAAAATTGAGTATGTCTGCCACATTGCACTCAATGTTTGCATTCCTGCATGCAACATTTTGCACAGAATGCGTTTTCTCTAAAGAAAGACGTGATTATTCACAAACAATATAGAATTAATTTCTTAATTACTTCAATGGCAATTAAGGCGAATGAATTCCTAGTCATAGCTTCATCAAGACTCCTTAACATCTCAGGCCAATTTTTCACCATTCTCTCAAACCTCACAAGCATCCAGATTCTCTTGAAGGTTGATTTGCTTTTTTGATTAGTTTATAGGCATTTAAATTATTTGTTGTGTACAGACATGTTACTTTAAATTTTGATGACGTGTGTGCGCTATGCCTGATCATTTTTTTACTGTACTTGTTTGCTTGTAATTTATCACTGTTGCTTAGCGATTTATGTAACGTGTGCTTGCGAGACTTAAATCAAAACTGAGCCTGTGATGGATAAGCGGCAGCAGTTAGAAAACTTGAGTGTCTACTTTGATGTGTATCATAAAGAAAAAAATTTACTTGACTCAAATTAAGTTGAAGTTTTACACAATGATAGATTCTCTGTATCGTGTGTACGATGCACCGTAAACCATTGTCTATATTGCTTGTAGTGCTGTACTGGTCCGTGTGTGGCAGCTCGATGCAACACCCAAAAGCTTGCCATGCCCTACTGAACTCGGTGCTAAGATTCCTCCGGTTTCAAATAGATCTCTACGAAGGTATTTCATTAATTAATTCAACGAAACCCGAAATTTCTTGAAATAGATCAACAAAACCTGTGAATTTTATGAGGATATTCAAGAGAACTGGAGAATTTCATGAAGTAAATGATTTAAAAATATTAATTTCAAGAAATAATTAGCGTAATGCTGCTATTCGATTGTGCATAAACGTCCCTGAGTGCGCGAAGGGTTCACAATTCAGTATAAGCGTCTCTTTTTCTACCATTGATTCGTGCTCATTATTGACTCATGTTAACTTATTCATACATATTTAGCCATATTCGTGAATATTGTTCCACTGTGCACATAATTGATAATTGCTTGACTTTTTAGTCCGGTGCAAAGGCGTCGTGGAGAACCCTTCATGTTGGATCTGAACGAGTTTAGAATTCAGGATATTCAGTTGTTTTTTGACTAAATGATAGCAAAACTTTTTTTGGTACTCGATATTTCCTCGCGATGTATTTCACACATTTGTGGTTTAGATGCAATATTGCGGTGCTGCAATCCTATCTTTGTACTGGGTGCTTGCTTTTTAATAATTAGAATTACGTTACTAGTTTATTCATTGCCTGTAGAATTTATTAACGTATATTTGTATTTTTTGTATTAGATCGTTCTAAACACACCGACTACAGCCAGCTTGAATTGTGTCTTGTTCAAGTTGCACTTGAACCATCATCCTCTAGTCACGTTAGTTTACAATCACTCTCAATTCAAATCAAACATTTGCGATTATGCGCTAGAATTTTTATTATCAAAGTCGTAAGGCGGGATGGGATTATTATTCTGTTGGACCCAGGATTATGGCGGGCAACCACCATACTTTTTCGTTGCCATCATTCAAAAAAAGCCTTCAAATTTGTATAAGTAAACTAGTCGCGTATTGTGGATACCACAGATATTATGACACATGAGATATTAACTAGAGCCGCACTATCAGATATTGTTACGATTTCGTGATTCTAACAGCCAACCACTGAAGGATTTTCAACTTGAAAACCAACTTCTCGAAAACGAGAAATTGGCCGATACGTGTACTTGGGCCGCTACGTGTACTTGGGCCGCTACGTGTACTTGGGCCGCTACGTGTACTTGGGCCGCTACGTGTACTTGGGCCGCTACGTGTACTTGGGCCGCTACATGTACTTTGGCCGCTAAATGTACTAAGGCCGCTAAATGTACTAAGGCCGCCACATGTACTAAGGCCGCCACATGTACTAAGGCCGCCACATGTAAAGTACTTAGGCCGCTACATATACTTAGGCCGATATTTGTACTTAGGCCACTTTAGGCCGCTACATGTACTTAGGCCGTTAAATGTACTAAGGCCGCCACGTTTACTCAAGCAAGTTTTGATAGTACGGCACTAGATGTACTCAGGGCGTTCTAATCTACTCATTTGCATCATGAACATGAAGAATTCACGCATGGCATGACACCTTAGTCGTACCGTAGCACTGCCACCCCTGTAACTTAGCATTAAGATAATGTCACGCGTTCCCCGACGCGTTAGTAACAGTTATCTTCTCTAGCCTCATTATGTTAAAGTGTGTATGCTTCATGTTATGAGTAGATGGCTTTAATTTCTTGTGAAATCTAAACTTTTTACGATATTTTCCGGCGTCATCTTGTACCGGGTAATTTTGTTTGATTGGGATCCATGTATTTCAACCATTGAAGGTTGGGCTCGAAATATGGAGCCTAAAAGCTAACGTGACGAACTTAAGAAATGAGTTCCCTCGCAGGGAGCATCATGGGGCTAAATTAGTGGCTATTGTTTTGCAGACCTTGAAATTAATCAATATTGAAAACAATTTAAATCCTTATATTCGTGTCAGTGTTTTCAGTGTGCGTAAACTCACCAGCTACTCAAACCAGGGTTGACGTTCACTCTATCGATTAAATCAATACTTTGACGTTCACGATTAACTTAATACTCGGCAAGAACTCTTATGGTGTACCTGCTTGTGTTGTATTTATTTTCTTGATATTTGTTTTATGTAGTATTATCCACAGTATATCTTATTTAATAAAACACCCGGAACACGGAAGGTTGTGTAATTGCATTTTTGTAAATGTGCGAAAATTACGTTTTCATGTTTTTCCCGTTGCAAGGTTTGTTGAAACAATTGAGTTCGTAGTTTGGAATGTACTATTAAATCAAATATCAATTCAACAATGGTATTGTGCCCGCAACCTAATCCCACATTTAATTCAACCATTTGCTGCCATAATCCTGCTCCCGTATTCCCATCCTTGATTTGCCCCATCAAACCTGCTATTTTGACCACGCATGTTCCCTGAGTGTCGCTGCTATCCTCGCAGTATCGGCAGCTAGGGTACGATTGTCCCTTTAAGTGTAACATTGACCTGAAGTTGAAAAAAGTTTTGCCTGCGATCCTGTGATGAGTTAAAATCAAGCGAACGGTGTTACCTATCCAGTGATGCATGAACTTAGTCGACAACTCATCACATGATAGCACTACAGCACAGCAATCCTTCTTCCAACTGCGTTCCAATGTTACATTTTAGGACCAATCTTATCCAAGCTAACGGTACATGCAGTTGAAGTTATGCAGCTGCCATTCAGGACGCCATGTTATGTTGAATTATGCAGCGGTTATGCAGTGTATCGTGTCATGTTATTGATGTTTACGACACTCACAAGACCTACGCGTCGGTAATGTGTTTTTTTTTTCTCATTATTCTTACGTATTAACTTTTTTTTCATTGTATCCCACTTATTGCTCATTAATTGTGCTGCACAATTGTTTTTCACGAAAACAGGTTTTTGTGTACTGTGCCATCGAACTAATTGTAAGACCAGTGGGCATTACTTGACGTGTTGCCTGTGTTAAAAATGACCACCATTGAGCCGTTTATGCCACCATTGAGCCGTTTCTTATAGTTCAATATTCTTTTTTGTTTTCAAGGATAATATGAAAATTTATAACCCCTCACGGCTCATGGATTGATTGTTTAATATCCAGGTAATTTGACGTGTATTGCTCATTGCGTTGTTAATGTATCGTACTGTACAACAGTGTTGTGGCCGCGAGTTTGTTTTAGATTTGTAAGTTGTGCTATAATGATCTCAACATCACCTATAATGTTTAGTTGTTGAATTTTGTGACCGTGGATATGCTGTACTTTTGGACTGTGTGTCGGTATCCTTCTACGTTAACGACTATATTCTTGGAACACCCTCTGATGTGATGGCATGAATGGTTGTACCATTTAAAATATTTAATTTATTAATTTGCTAAACTTAGCTCTCCATTGTAGCTGTGTACTCGTCACAAGCCTTTGAACCAAAGACACATCCAAACCTATGCTTTGTCTCTTGATTACCTTGAAATTGAAACGACTATAATTGTTGCTGTGAAGCCTTTATGAAAATACTGGCAA